ACCATGTGTGATGTTCATACCATGTTTGATTCAAATCAACAACCCACCATGTGTGATGTTCAAACCAAGTTTGACTCAAATCAGCAACCCACCATGTGTGATGTTCAAACCAAGTTTGACTCAAATCAGCAACCCACCATGTGTGATGTTCATATAAAGTTTGATTCAAATCAGTAAACCACCATGTGTGTTGTTCATACCAAGTTTGATTCTAATCAGCAACCCACCAAGTGTGATGTTCATCAAGTTTGACTCAAATCAGCAACCCACCATGTGTGATGTTCATATAAAGTTTGATTCAAATCAGTAAACCACCATGTGTGTTGTTCATACCAAGTTTGATTCTAATCAGCAACCCACCATGTGTGATGTTCATCAAGTTCGATTCAAATCAGCAACCTACCATGTGTGATGTTCATACTAAGTTTGATTCAAATCAGCAACCCACCATGTGTGATGTTCAAACCAAGTTCGATTCAAATCAGCAACCCGTCGTGTGATGTTCAAACCAAGTTTGATTCAAATCAGCAACCCACCATGTGTGATGTTCAAACCAAGTTTGATTCAAATCAGCAACTCACCATGTGTAATGTTCAAACCAAGTTTGATTCAAATCAGCAACCCACCATGTGTGATGTTCATACCAAGTTTGATTCAAATCAGCAACCCACCATGTGTGATGTTCATACCAAGTTCGATTCAAATCAGAAACCTTGGGTCAATCTCTAAACTGTTTGGTGGCGGACTTTACCTGATACTGATTGTGATCAAATCTATCATTGATCACAAACCATCTTAGATCAAATCTTCTACATAAATCAAATAAATGATCAGTCTCCTGTCTGGTCCATGTCTCATCATGAAGATGCATCTGGTACTCCTGATCAGAGTAAACCGGAACCTGGACAGTCTGAAAGAATACAACATAAACACTCAAACACTGCACTGTGTGACAATATCTTAAATTTGTTTCATGATCTTAGAGGTAAGCATTCTGAATAATTAATACAATACTATAGATAAATCAATCAATTTGCATATTGTACCATTGGAATATAATATTGCGTCATGCATAAGACTATTTTACTTCGTAATAGATAGGGTTTTACGGTGTATCTTAGTCACAGTTACTACAACTTAACTGGAGTTTTTGAAATATTTTGAATGCTTGGCATCAGCCTATTACACGTTAACAATGCATTAATGATAGTAATACTGTATTTGAGTGATACTGGTGGTGTGAGTAATATAGTAATAAATATATATAGTTTATATAGTGCCTGATAACTATCAAATGATGCCCAATGACGCTTACAATTCACAGGAATGCTTGATGAAATAAATGCGTAATAGTATTGATATTCAGAGACAATATATTTCTATTCCGAGCACACTGAATGGTCCAGTGATATCTTGTCAGCATGTGACAAATCAACTTATAGTTTGATAGTAATTTTCATCTTTGTTTTTCTCTTTTTGTCATTTCTTGACGATACTTTACGTTAATACATTCCATAGGCTTGACAAAAGAGTAGGCATTTGTACATTTTTTGATTAACGCACATTCCTTTCTGGGTGATGGACTGAAACACATGTCAAAAGCTATTCCAGTTTTAGTAAAACTGTCAATATAATACAAGCTCAGGTTCACCATGTCTAATATGACACTTTTCATTAGGCTTAGTGATAAGGTTATTTTCAAGTCATACCAGATTTGTCATAATTTAATGGCCTTTGTACACTACAAGCAGTGAAGACTACAGTCAATGACAATCTGGTGCACTTGTAGTTTGTGTCTCCTCCCATGCAGATAACATAGTTGAACTCTGGTGACCTTGCCCTTTGTTATATAATATAATTCCCTTTATCATAGTTTGTTTCAATATAAATATGCATTGTCATAATTAATTTTGAATACAAACAAGTTTTGGGGTTGAACCAACAGTGGGGAATCAGTCTACCGAATGTCCTTAAAAGATGTAAATATCTTACAAAAACATTGGTGCCTTATTTGTTTAATTATTTTAAGGAACATAATTTCCAGCTTTATTGAAAGTAATTAAGATATTTTAGAATAAAAACAAATGTCTCATTGCAAAAAAAAAAGTGCTGCATTTAGATGTGAATAGATTCATAAAACATGCAAGATAACAGAAAAATTTAGCTGGCT